AACAGTCACAATCTTTGAAAACACGTGCTAGCTAGAAATGCACTCAACACGCAGTTGCGGAGTGATCTCTGTATTTCTGAATATTGAAGTAATGCTGTGACAGAGGGTGGCAGAAGAAGTAGATCCTTCAGAAAATGAAGGAACAAGACAAACAGTTAATTATAAAAACTGAGTATGGTGCCATGAGAAAAGTGGTCTCATATTTACATAACTTTAATTTTTATTTTTATATATAAAAATATATATTTTTTTATTTAAAATGTATTTATCCAGGAGAAACCTCATTGAGATTAAAAATCTCATTTACAAGAGTGTCCTGGCCAAGACGGTCAGCAGCACAACAAAAAGTTACAGACATAAACCACAGAGTATTTACAAAGACAGATGGACATCTCCTGAGTCACAGAGCACAAAGTCATCAGTCAAAGCATCTGAAAATTAAAATAACAACCAAAATGATTCCCACACTTAACTCCTAACTAATGATTATTAAACTAAACATTTTAGCTGCACGAGTTAAATACAAAACAAAACATCATATTTTGTGTTGTGCAGACAAAATATAATAATTTGTCACTTAAGCATTCCACCACTGAGAACAAAAACACTTAATTTCCTAGTACTTGATTTGTTCAATGTTTCAAATTCAAGTAAACTGAGTTTGGCAACTTTTTTGACCTAGAAGTACAAGTAACTTATTTATAATGAGTGTTATTAACAGGTTGATAAAAACTGAGTTAGGTCAACTCAATATTTCTAATTAAAACCAATGTTAGTATTTACAGTGTAGACTACATATACATTTTATGCCTTTTCCATCACATCAGAGATCTCACCCAACTCATAACAACAATCTTCACAAAAAGTGTATTTGTGGACAATGAGCATACAGGTTTATCTCCTTACGAGACTTGTAAGCATTACCTGGCAGTTGGTTTAGTGGGTCATTGTAGAGGATGTCATGGACTTGTCGGCCCTGTAGTGCTATCGGCTTCATGAACCTCGCACAAAGTTTCAAGATGATCTTCGTCATTTGCAAAATTGTAGTTCATAAAAGATTTCCATGTATTACTTGAAAAAGCACATATCATCCAATGAAAAAATAGGCAGACATACTGGGCAGCAGGATAGCCCAACCTTTCCATTTTACCTCTCCATGGAGCAGGAAGATGGACTTTCTCTCTGGAGGAGAAGGTTCAGTGTGGAGAACAATGGTAGCGTTGCTTGGAAGATGAGGAGGTAGACTTCTGTCAGGGGGTTGGAAAATGCATCCACCAGCCTTCTAAACCTTGGTTGTTTCTCATCTGTAAATAAAAAAAAGGTTGTGCTCAAAAGTAAATATTTAGTCTCATGTAATGCACTTGTACTACTGTCAATTAAATAAGCAAACTACTTAAAGACTTAAAATAGCTAGTAAGTGGTGCATACTGCCGCAGAATTCGAGTAATACACCTCTCCAGGCTTAAAGGGATACTTCACCCATTGAAACATGAATCTGTATTGACATTGGGTCATATATGTAGAAATGTGAAATACATTTTGAAGTTGGTGCCTTCTTGGCCGAGAAAAGACAGGAAGTGTCTTTTTGGCTCATGTGGATGAAAGACACCAAATTCCAGAATGCACAGCACCGCAGGCCACTCCCACTAAGGTCCTCTAGTTCAGAATCAGAAATACTTTATTAATCCCAGAGGGAAATTCGATCGTTACAGTTTCTCCAAAATATACAGTATAGCAGTAGAAATATAGAAATAAAAACATTTACAGACATGTTTACTACAACACATAAGACCATTTCATCAACTGATTCAGAGATTTCTTCCAGAATTGATCTTGGAAATTCCTGGCAGAAAACAGACTCTATGTCTGTGTCCATAGGCAAACAGTGAGACACTACCGGTCCGCCCCAGCTCGAGCCGGCCCCGGCTCCTCGTCCTCACCACCGCCAACATGCAGGCCTTATGTCTCAGCCGCTGAGCTGGCAGCGACCAGCAATATAGAGAGGTTGCTGCCGACAGGCCGGTCTTCTGTCGCAGCAGCCAGCGGCGGCCCCGGTGGCTAGCGACGGTCAGCGGCCGCAGCAGCCAAAACACAAGACCAGCCTGTCGGCAGCAGCCATCTCGCCGCTATATTATATTTTTTCGCCATTATCAGATTTCTCCATAAAGCCTGTTAGCTTAGCTTCCAAGCAATATGGTGGATGTTAAGTTTCAATTCTGGGAGTGAGTTCCCACCCACTGATCTGTGATTGGTCTGTAGCTTCAGTGGTCGAAATTGTGAGGAACTAGCGTTGTAGTTTCACCCCGCTAACCGCAAAAGCTTCCAATGACACAAAATGACGATTTTTGCGTCACTGGAAGCTCCTTTTCAGACTCAGAAATACAAAGATTTCCCATCTCAGGGGAAAATGAGGGCGAGATGCACGACCATTCAAAAATACTATCAGGTTTCTAATGATACAAAGCTTAATGCAAATGTGTAGTATCCCTTTAAGGGTTTTTTAGGATGCTGAATCCTTTGCAAACATTTATTTTGCACCAAGACCACTCCTTGGTGGTTTCCCACTGTTTCCTTTGTTAGGGTGAAAATAAATGTTGTTTGTTGCATGTGAATTATAAAGTATCTTCATACGTTTATTTATAAATGAATTTGGGACGGTAACTACTTTTCATTCAGCTTCGACCAGATATCATACATTTGAAACCACAGGCAAAGTTCTTGAACAAAATTCATAACAATTGTGTGCTTATCCATCTCCTCTTTAACGTTTCGGAAACATCAGATCACCGTGGAGCAGTGTGACAATGATGCTAACACTTTGATTGTGAGAGCAGCAATGGCTGCTGCTACAGATGACTCTGTTGAGGTCAATCAAACATTATGTACCAATGTAACATGAATTTGGTGAAATTCAAGTTTGGAAACATTATTTTAGTCAATTATTTCCCCCTTTAATAATACTAATTGGTGTTGTATTTTATATCATTGGAAAGCCTGATTAGTCACCTTTCCAATGAGGTATAACTTGTAAGGATCATGCATTCATGGAATGTGCAACACAGCTAAACGTGTGGGTAGAGCCCCAACAAAAATGTGGCAAAATCCCCTGCAATGTTCTTCTGTTGGTATTCATTCCTGTTTATATAAGCTTGCAGTAAAATGATGCAACCATCAATTTACTAAATTATGTTAAATACGTGAGAAAACACTCTCAGGTAGAGGCATCTCAAAACTCAAGCCTTTTTGACGGATTTGTTCCTCTTCTATATCTATAGCCACAAAGATGACATCAAGGACAGAGAAATGCTACTTTGGTGAATGTCGATCCCTCATGTCAGGCCTTCTTGGCTGTAAAAGCTGTAACCTGATTTGTGGTGTGTTCAAGGACACAGGATTATGTGGGTGAGTGTCTTGAGCTACAGTAACATTTTTTATGAACTGGTACTACACAAATAAAGATGGATAGATTGATAGGTTGATTTATTGATTAATGAACATACTTAAGTCACCGTCTTAAATGTACCTGGATCAAAACACCAAGTAGATTTTCTTTTTAAATGGGAGGGGGAAGCCATCTCCTCCTGACTTTTACCTTTCTAATTTACACCTATGGTCTTGACATAACTCGAATTTATTTGGAAAACTGAAACCCAGCGCACAATCATTGACACCTAACCGATCTTCGTAGTTTACAGCTTATAGTAATAATTACAAAAAAAAAATTGAAGATAGGGTGAAATTATTGCAGTTTTGTTATTATCAATGTTTTCAGCTGTTGTAGCAGGACTGCAGCCCTTTAAATAATACAGCCCTGGTTATGAGCCTGCAGTGTCCTTGTAATGTCATGTTTGATTTAAAAAAAATTAAAAGCAAGATCATTATGGTCACAATTTGTCTTACATAACCTCTTATTTTGTATTAGAAGTGAGAATGTTAAGACAAGGTACTTTATAGTTTTGGTAGAGAAATGTGAAAGTTGGAGAAGTGTACAGATTCTGTGGTATATGTTCATAACTCTACACACAAACTGTCCTCAGAGGAAAACTTGGTCCCTGTAACCCTGTTTGAAGATAAAATGTAGCACGAGAAGTTATGTAGGGGGTCTGCTACAGTGAATCGTAACTCTCCTGGTAGCTTTTTTAGCTCCAAACAGTGTTTCAGGGACCCATTTTTTCCATTGAAAAGTTTGTGTGTTTAGTTCAGAAAATATAACATAGATTTATTTCACTACCAAATCTAATGCACCTTTAAAGATGATTGAATTTCTAGTTGTGTGTACAATACAACTATTAGATGGTAAACGCATGAAAATGCATGAAATCAATTAAATATAATAGGTTTGGTTTTGTTTAACCACTGGAAAAAGAAATAGCAAAGAAAACAAATACTGAATATAAAAGTTTAACAAAATGTGTTGAATTAACTTTACATAGGCATAATGAATTTGACACACTTTTTTGACACAATCTTTTTGTGTCTGGGATGCTGGTTTAATTATGCCTCAAAATGTGTTTTGCTTAATGCACACAACAAGTCAGGTTTTACAAAATAAATTAATTTTACATAGAACTTTGTATTTGTTAAACACAAATTTCTGATTACTTGATGTAAAGTGGTGTGTTTAAAAGGACATACAAGAAATCTATTTTCTGATTATGTGACATCGCATGTATTGTGCGTCAGGTGTACTGAAACTATCCTACAGTCCAGGAAAGTTTTGTTTGCAAGCCGTTCCTAATGAAGATTGAGTTTAACATTGAAAAAAAGAGTAAATTTGACTTTGATGTCAAGATGTCAAAATATTAAGTATCAAAGTTTTGACACACCATTTTTTGTGCAGCTAAGGAACACAAAACTAACCATCAACCTGATTATTTTTTATTAGGATTTATTAAAATAATTGTATTTAATCATTTAAAGCGCTAACATTCCTTTTTTATTTCTTAAACCATTGTTCACATTTCATCCTTATGAAACTTTATACCAACATACAATAATTATTACAATTTTGAGTTAGCACAATCTCCTTGAAATATTTTTCCAGAAATTATCATTTTGAAAGCTGATCTGAACCAACTGTAAAAGAAAGCATATATAAAAGGATTCAGCATTGAATTTGACAATGTGAGCCAATTAAGTGTTTCAATCACAAGGACTGGAGGGGGATTACGAGACAAAGGCTGAAATATGACACAAAGAAAGTAAGGAGTTAAACATAGGAGAAAAACTCCCATAACAATAGCCAGAGTTATAGTTGCCTTTCTCTCCATCTTACTGACAGTTGCTCCAGACCTTTTACTTTGGCAGGTCACACTCTGGATGCTATTCACTTGTTTCTGAGCAACAATAAATATCTTCAGGTAGATACAGAGCATTATGAAGGCTGGAAGGTAAAACGATAAAACAGGCCCCATAGTGTTTGCTATTAAAATTTTAATGGAACACATTTCCTCACATGTTCCTTGGCTGAATCCTGCAATTATAATACAAATTCCAATCAGGGCAGAAATAAACCAGCTCATTGCAATCATGAGCATAGTAACATGAACACTTATTTTAGTTCTATATGTCAAAGGCTCACACACTGCATAATACCTGTCGATGGAAATACAACATAAATTCAGAATAGAAGATGTGCAAAGAGTTACATCTAAGCAGTCTCTAATTTTACAAAATACATGTTGATGATAAAGACACGAGGTAACAGTAAATATCATGCTCAAAGGAAAGACTAATACTCCCACAAGCAAGTCAGCTATAGCCAGAGAAAAGATGAGATAGTTAGTGGGGCTGTGAAGCTGTCTGAAATAAATAACAGAGATTGTCACAAGAAGGTTTCCACATATTGTGGTAATGGATAATAGACAGAGGAACATATATGCAAATACACACATTATGCCAGGGTAACTTGTAAATATATAAGTTGTGTTATCCAAATCATTGCAGATATTTATGTTATCGATGAAAAAGGTCTCGTTCACAGTCAACTTTGGTTCCATGCTTCCTGATTAAGAAAAAAACGTATTTCATTAAAAACATTTTAAAGAATATCAGATTGTGTAGCATCTAAAGGAAACTACAGCATCTTTTTTCAAGAAAGAAGACCTCATTATCATCCAATGTTCTCTTACCTTGGAATACTCCAATACTGTCAATTCATGGACAGTGTTGTGTGGTCTTTGTCACTGTGCCACAACACAAAGATCTTTCGACTTTGCACAGTTTTGATCAAACCTCATCTCATTAACTGAATGAACACATACATTAGAAATCCAATCAGATGTTTCCTGGTCACATGGGATACTAACAATATGATACGTTAGGATTCAGTTATAGTATGTGCTGTTGTGTTACAGAGTGGGTTGTCCAAATTTTCAATCTACCACTATTTACCACCATTAAAACTTTGGAAGAGGAAGTAAGTAGAAGAAATAAGAAGTAGTAGCTCAGTCTGTAGGGACTTTGGTTGGGAACCGGAGGTTGGCCGGTTCAAGTCCCGATATGGACCATAATATGGAAGTTGGTCTGGTAGCTTGACAGGTGCACTCTCTGTGTAACAGTGTGTAGTAGCCCCACTCCGCAGTGTGTAGTAGCCCCACTCCGACATCTCTCCAATAATTAGGCCCTCCAGGAAGTTGCGATTTCGCGATTGCAACAATTCACGCAAATTCAACCAATCCCCGTGAATTCTGGGCGACCTTGCAATTGTGTCTAATCACTGCAACCTTTCTACAAATATGACCAATCAAAATACTTTCCTCTGCAAATTTCACCATCATAACAGTCCCCTGTGAAAATGTTGAGCCATACGTCATCAAAGTTTGGTGACCATTGATCAAATTCACTTCCTTGTTTATATGCAGATGCAGACATGTCCGACACAAAGTAGCACATTTACCTATAAAAATTGCAGCTAAGGTCCGTGCAAAGCAATTCCCAGATGCTCTGCACGGAAGCAGGGGTAAACTTTTTTGCAACACATGGTGGTGGAACACAAATGAAAGTCATCAATCTACCACAAAACACACCAGGAGAATGAGTGAAACGCGCTGACAAAATACAAGACAAATCACAGTGACAGAGGCTGCTGCATCTGGATCGATTGTAAGTGCGGAAAGAAGCGAGGCGAGTTAAATAAATAAGCATGGGTAGAGCTTGTCTGATTGCGAAACAAACGGTGTGTGTGTGCGCTCATGCATTAATGAAAATAGTTAGGAATAAAAAGTCGTAAAATGTGGTTTAAAAGCTTAAGGCAAAATATGAAATTGGATGTGTAATGAAATCAGATGAAGAGTCTAAGTGTGTGTGTGAGAGAGAGAGAGTGACATCACTGAGTGAGGCAGAGGAATATGTAAACTTCACAAAGCTAATGGCTCTGCTCAGGTTAAAAATATAGGCATCACTCAATCACATCGAAGTGTGTGTAAGAAAATAGTTTATGAACAAAAAGTCTAGATTTTTTTACATTAAAAATATCGCAAATTTTCGCTTGCTGCAGAAATTTCATTGCAAAGAAACGTCTAAAAACAACCCAACATGCATTGCAATTTTCTTTTGAAAAGCTGCAGTGAAATCAGGCATTTTAGGCTGCAAAAAGTCCGCAAAATCCTGGAGGGACTGACTAATGCATGTCCACAGGTCTAGTTTGTGAATGTGTGTGATTCAGGAAATTTCTTTAGCTACGTTGATGGAATACCCCCCAGCAGTTTATTTTGGTTTAATGCTGGTGCTAAAGGGCGGCATACTGGATCAAAAAGTTGCACATTCTTCCTTTAACAGCTGGTAGCATTTATTCGGCAAAGAGCTGTTAGCAGTTATTTGGCATAACATTTGAAGATATGGAGGGCCAAAGATTAACACCTACCATACCTTTAAACATTTAAATATGTTTTCATATATTATTGCCAGCATTCCTCTCTTGTGTTCTCCATAGAGCGATCCGGGGAAAAACCATAGACTGTAACCCGGAAGTTGACAAGCCGACATTACTGCGGTGGCCTCTCCCACAACATTAGCGTGTTTTAATACAAGCAGTCCGAAGAAGTTAACATTTGTGCTCTTTCTGTGTGCTATCTTAGTTTGTAACTATGCCAGGGGCTTCTGGAAGAACTTGTGCAGTTATTGGCTGCTCATACAACAGCGGCAAACTTTAAGTTTGGAAAAAAAAACGAGTGCTTTGAACACAGATCCTTACTACACGAAGAGTGCCCCTTCTTGAAACCATATGGTTTACATAGATTCTCTGGGCTGTCAGAAAACGGAGCTGTTCGCCAGCAGTGGATCAAGAATATTAACAGAAAGAACTTTGTTCCCAATGAAAAGAGCAAGGTAGGTTTTAGTTTATATTGGGGAATATTGTTATTTGACGGTGACTATTATTCAACTGCATAGCCTAGCGTGGTTTAAAGAGTAGCACATTTAAGCTAGCTAATGGCTAGGCTAACATTAGTAGCTGACCGTTGGGGCTTCACTGGTCACTCAACTAAGTTGAATTACTGTGAAATAGTACATTATTTTATTTAACTAGGGCAATATAATGAACTAGGTTTTCATAAGAAACAATATACTTGCTGCCATAATACAACGTTTAGGTGTACATACAGGACATTTACACCTCATCTAAAATAAAACATACTGATAAGTGGGTGTGTGCACTTACATGTGCCTGTAGGCATGGAATCTGAAGTAGGAGTGAACATTGAGGATCTGGAAAATCTGCCTTGGCGTCCAGTGGCCATACACTACAGAACAAACCTACTGTTCTAACAAATCAATGACAGACAGTGCAACACAAACTGATCCTTCTCCATCAATGACAGCCTATGACTTGGATGATAGAGACTCCAAGTTTTTCACAGGCATAGGTATTGCTAGTTTTTGGCAACTTTAGTGCACCCTACAGGATTTTCTCTCACAGCTTAGAATCACCAAGTTGGCAGTCCATGATCAACTGTTAAGGCCCTGACACACCAAGAAGACTGTCGGCCGTCGGTCCGTTGGTCCATTGGTCCATTGGTGAGCGGTCGCCTCCTAGTTTTTGCAGTGTGTCCAGCTCTGTCGCTGCCAGTTGGGCCGCAGTTGGCCTTTTTTTTTTTTTTAAGATTTATTTTTGGGCTTTTTATGCCTTTAATGGATAGATAGGACAGTGGATAGAGTTGGAAATCAGGGAGAGAGAGTGGGGAATGACATGCGGGAAAGAGGCCACAGGTGGGATGTGAACCTGGGCCACCCGCTTGAGGCTACAGCCTCCATACATGGGACGCACGCACTAACCACTGCGCCACCAGCGCCCCAGTTGGCCTGTTTTTTGATAGACTCTACATTTTGAATCGGAGGACCCGTCGCGGTTGGGGGTAGGAATCTCTCTGATTGGCTGTTCAGCTAAGGGAAACAGGAGAGCCAGTGCACGAGAAGAAATACGGAAGCGCCTCTTCTATTCTTGTTCCACTAATAAAATACCAAGGGCTGACAACGACAGTGCCATTTTCAACTTTTTATCAGACATTATTCTCCATTACCTGAATTACGAGTGTTGAGCACCAGAGGTGAGAATATTTTCTTCTCGTATCACAACAACGTTTTATTTATATGCGTTCTTCCTCATCCTCTCTTGGTTTCCCCTTTTTGGAATGACGATTACAGACTACCACCCCCTGCTGGCATGGAGAGTTATTGCCTCTCACACAGCCGCAGAACGTACATGGTGGTTGGCCGTCGGCTGTAGTCTTTGTGGTGTGTTCTAGTGCAAATTTTTGACCAAGACAAAAGGCGTCGCCCGCTGACGCCACAGGCTGCCTTCGTCGCCACCAGTTCTTGGCCATCTGCTTGGTGTGTCAGGGCCTTTACTTGTTCTGATGAGGCTTCGTCTTGGTTAAATGTTTACAGACTTCGGTAAACGGTTCGGAATTAGCAGAAGCAAGGCTTGTGAGATCTTCACACTCTTGAGACCAGTACTTGCAAAATTTACAAGGAAAAAGGTGATTGTGTGGTAAAGGTATAAGGCCTCAGATTTTCAGTGAAAATTATCCCAAAGCATTATAGACTGTACTGAAATATAAGTACAAAAGCTAAAGAACCTAAGGAAACGTTCACAAACATATAGCAACTTCAAACATCATATAACACATACAAACTCCTGTATTGCATGTCTCCCAATGGTTATGTTATGTGTGTATCTAAATTGTTCGCAGGATGGTCCAGTGATACATTTAGCACAAAATCGGTAGCACTTCATATTAAGGCGCTTGTAATAAGCATAGGTAATAAGTCACTTATAAGACTCCTACAGTTCATCAGCATTGGATCAAGTGGCCCCCAGCAGAGCAGCACAGGCTGTGGCACCAGTTCGACGAGGATGCAGCCAGAATCATCATAGCAACAGCAAAGGGAGATGTGGAGAGGCGACTCCAGACTTTGACCACCATCATTACAAGTTTTGGAGCAGAGAGGTTTGGTGTTGAGGAATGCAAGACTGCAGCATTTTCCTCTCTTGGCCATGCACTCACAGTTCCCACCCACTACTTTGACATCCCTACTCTGCAGATTTATTTCAAACTGCAGTTGTTTTGCCTTTTAGCAGCGCGTTTATTTCTTTTGCAGTGTGTTTCAGGGGTTTGCATTTGCTGTTTAATATGCAGCATTTCTAATTGCACGATTTTCTTAATGTGTGTCATTTCAACAGTTCCCGAACCTTTGACCTCTACAGGCCACCCTACAAAAGGCATGGATGAGCTTCTCAGCATCTTGCTGTGACAAAATAAGTTGTACCTTGGCAATGTTTCCTAAGTTGATTAAGGCTGTTCCATATAGTTATATTAGCAGAATTATTGGTGCCCCTCTCCCTTTCCTGCTGGAGAGTTACAATCAGCGCTTTGCTTGCAAGGCCTCCAGCATC